CTGTCTTAGAGGAAAGGACATTCTCGGGCAATATATTACTAGCAGCACAACTAGAATAAGCGTTTTTAAGTCACAGCATCCGTCAGAAGAACTGCCAAAACTCTTTCTATAGCATAAAATAAATTCAGTCATCAATGTCAAATCAATTATGCTCCAAAATAATGTTTTTAAGTCAATATTTTAGAACTTGAAAAATGTTTTCCACAGAAAAAAGTACTACAAATGAAGGTTCATTTGTTGGTTTACTCACGTTTCAACAAACATTTAATGAGCACAAATGAAATAAAGATATAGACATCAATCACTGCCACAAGGAAAAGCAAATAAGCCAAAGGAACAGAATGGAAACACACATGTACTGTCACCTGATTTATGAGACAAGTAACACTGCAGCGCAGCAGGAAAAGAATAGTCTTTGCAATAAATGCAAGTGTCACCTGGATACTTATAAGGGACGAAAACAAATCTTAACTTCCTATCTTACAACATATACTACAATCGGCCCCAGATGGCATAAAAATCTAAATAGAAAGAGTGAAACAATAGAGTTGTTCGAAGAAAACATAGAACATCGTCAGGAACTCAAGATAGTCAAAGACCTTAAACAGGACAGAAAAAGCATTTTTTCATGAGATAAAAATGTGAAGATGAACAGCATTAAAATTTTAAATTTCTGTTCATCAAAGACACCAGTAAGAGAATGAAGGAAAGCAACAAGGTGGAAGAAAATATTTACAATACTATATTCCAAAAGTAGTCATCCAGAACAGATACAAAGCTCTTACATATTCAGAAGAAAAAGGCAGACAACCCAACAGGAAAACTGGAAAAGTCTTCAGTAAGCACTTAACTCTGAGAGGCTACCCAAACTGTCAGTCAACGTATTGAACGGCATCTAACTCTATCAGTCATCAGGAAAATACATATTAAAAGCACACTTCCCAATGTCACTACCACTGTCAAGAACGGCTAAGTTTTATAATTAAAAGAAAAACTAACAGACAACACCAAGTATGGAAGAGAAAGTAGAGGGGCAGGAACCGGTCCACGCCGCATCCCGATGACGGTGCAGACTGGCACAATCACTTTAGAAAACTGTTTGGCAGCATCTACCGTATCCATTAGCTTTGAGCTCCTTGGCTTCCAACTAGCGCACTTTATTTAGCCCAGGACTCCGAGGCTCGGCAGCGTGGGCGCTCCTCTCACCTGGACTCGCCCACGTGTCCACTCAGCCGTGGGGACAGCTATGCCCGGTGACTGAGCACAGTTCTGGACAGGCCCCGGCAGGACGACCACAGGGAAGACAGCCAGGGGTCCCTCACTCCTTACAGGGGGGGTTCGGGGGCGTCTCCAGCTGCCGAGGGCTTGCAGGTGCCCCCCAGCCCTGGACAGGAAGTTCTCCCCCATGGGCTCTGCCCTCAGTGGGGCCGCCGGACTAGGGTAGGGGTGCTGTCCACCCTCGGGAGCTCCCCGCGGTATCGGGGGGCCTCACTCCCACTGACCTCCCCCACTCCATCCTCCGCCGGGTCCCATTTCCTCCACTGCCTGTCCTGGGAGATCTCCTGCACAAATTCTGAAGAGACCTGACCTAAGGGCGTCACCTAAAGAGTCCCCACTGTTTGTTCGCTCCTGATGGGAGCGAGGCTCTCAGTCAGCACCTAGGTCCTGGGTGGGAACGGGTTGGGGGCTGGTGACCCGATGGAAGGCCTGGGAGAGCCCTCCCCTTCCGGGTCCCACAGCCGTGCTCATGAAAAAAGAAAAAAATTTTACATAAAGACAGTCATGCATGAAATATACGTTAACAAAGCAAGAAAGCTTCCCAAAAGCTAAAGGTTAAAAAGGTTAAAGAGTAATTTAAAAAATAATACAGGCGGAATTGTATTATTTAATTGCTAGCTTTACCAAGTAAATTCCTACTTGAATTATGCATTCCTAGGGAAAGTATTAACACACTCCTAGGAAAAGAAAGAACATAATTGGGGGAGAAATATATTTTTTCAACAGTAACTACAAAATTAAAAATCTAGAACATCTAATGAATCAGAAAGTAGGTGCTGACAGGCATGCCAGCGATATAAAACACGTGCCCTTAGTACAGAGCACAGAATTCACTAGCTATAAACTGACCATTCAGAGGAAGAAAGACACAAGAGTGCACTGCACATTCCCATACAAACTAAAATCAAAGCAAAATCGAAGCTTCTGAACACACTGGGTATTTAAAGTATTCTACTGTGATCAAGAGATACAGTTCAACCTGATTAATGCATATGCGTTATAAATATATAAAAACGCAAGACTTTCATATTTTACACTGTTAGTGCATTCTTTGAACAATAAAAATGTGAAACAAAACCCCAGGCAGTCCTAGTTTTAGGGTATTACCTCAAAATATTTTAGATGTTTTATCTTAATTTTTTATATGAATAAAAATTTTAATCCTCTGAACAGTTAAATAATTGTGAAAAGTATTCTATGTGCTAAGAAATGTACAGCAGAAGTTTCAAAAGGCTAAGGGCAAAGGCAATTTTAAAAGGACAGCCCAGAATTTTATTTTTCACTTTGATACTGCTTTCTGGCAAACAGAATGGGTCTTTCTGAGGGGTTTCCTGTGCTCCTCTCCCACACCAGTAACTCAGCACTCCCCTCCAGTGGCAGCTTCCCCTACCCCTTCAAATGTGAAAACGGTCTTCTTATTGCCCTCTCACTATCAATTCTTTCTTCTCTTTCATTAGCATACTCCCCAAATGCCATGGAGATTCACACTGCTTTAAATCCTTCCGGGTCCCCTCCCCTCTAACTGTGGCCACTGCGCAGCCAGCCCCCTCACTCTGAAGTCTCTGAAGACTAGATCTGTCCCAGGCCCTGGATACAGCCACCACCTACAGCAGTGCGGCTGCAAAACAAGACACCAGCCCTGGAGACTCACTCATGGAGCTGAAAACCTTGAACTCCCCAATTCATCTTACCGCCTCTCTTGACCCTACCAGTCTAGAATAACACGTTGAAACCCCTGAAATGCTTCCCCCATCAGACAATCAATTAACTGACAGAGACACAACCTTCCCGTTTTCCTGCAACCAAACCTTCAGGCGCCCTCCTATTCAGCCCACCAATCAGCCACTAAGCATTCTTTATTCTCTTTGAAATGTGTTTCTTTCCTATCCTTTCCGTCTTCACAGAAACTACACCACCGTGGAGTCCACCGCAGACACCTAAAGGAGGGTTGGCTCCCTTTCTCCGTGTCTATGCACACCCGCTGTGACCTTCTTAATACCACCTAGTCACATGTCCTAAAGCACTGCTTTCATTAAAGATTGGTATTTATATGGGGTTTCCCTGGTGGTGCAGGGGTTAAGAAACCACCTGCCAATGCAGGGGACACGGGTTCGGGCCCTGGTCTGGGAAGATCCCACACGCTGCAGAGCAACTAAGCCCGTGTGCCACAACTGAGCCTGTGCTCTAGAGCCCGCGAGCCACAACTACTGAGCCCACCTGCCACAACTACTGAAGCCCGTGAACCACAACTACTGAGCCCGTGTGCCACAACTACTGAAGCCCGTGTGCCTAGAGCCTGTGCTCCCAACAAGAGAAGCCACTGCAATGAGAAGCCTGCGCACCGCAATGAAGAGTAGACCCGCTCGCCGCAACTAGAGAAAGCCCACCCGCAGCAACAAAGACCCAACACAGCCAAAAATAAATAAATAAATTTATTTTAAAAAAAGAACATTGTTAGTAGGAAGGGTTTTAGGTTTTTTTAAAAAACTAACAACACCTGATGTCAGTGAAGAAGTAAGAAACAGACAGTCCTATATACTTCTGGTTGGAGAACAAATTGGTATACACCTTCTGGAGGGCAATGTACCAAGACCTAACATAACCTAAGAAAGCAACCAAGTAGGTATAAAAGGACTCTTTTATGGAATTTTATTGCAGTATTACTTATATTAGCAATAAACTGGGAGCAACCTACATGCCCAAAAATGTCAGAATGTTTAAATAGGTTATGAACTATCTACTCAAAAGAAAAATTAGTGCTACCATTAATATTCATGCTAATAGAACTATTATTAACTTATACCAAATTTAAAACAGCACATAATAAAATAGTAATTATAATATGACCCCAATTTTGTTTAAATCTTAATTTTATAAATACACACAGGAAAAAAATGAGGGAAAGATATATTTAACAAAATGTTAATACAAATTTTATTCATCCAACTTTACATGTTTTTCAAATTTTTCAAGTTACAAATTATTTTGATAATAATAAAGTGGGATTAAAAAAATTGATCAAACCCCTTTTCACTTCCTGAAAGCATTTAAACAGCATATATGTAAAGTGGAATGTGGAGGGGAAAAAAAATTAATCTCACTACTGCCTAAAATTTAAAAGCTAAACTTCTCAGTTTAGTATTCAAAGCTCCAATGCAGCCCAACCTGATGGCACTGCCCTCTAACCATAACTGAGTCCCGGTCACGGCCACACCTTTCTTCATGCCTCTTTCTGCCTCTAGTTCCTGCCCCCTCCTCCCTACCCACCCAGAAACATTCACAGCCGGCCTCTGAACATGAAAACTGCCATCCACGATGGCGGCTCATCCTGAGGCCGCCTGGAGAATGTTTCTAACCCAGCTGACCTTGCTTCTCCAAGTCCTCCTACTCTCTCCTCCGCCTCAGGATTCTACTTTCTAGATAACTCACTTTGGTTATATAGTTTGATCATACACTATCTTAAAGTTTATTTAACTGTTTCATGTGTATATCTCTTATTTCACAACAAGAAAGTCAGCTTGTCGAGGGCAGGGACCATTCACGCTTCTTTGGAATGTTATTTCTCTTTCCTGTTCCCCAAGTCCTTCCCAGTGCTCACACAGTACTAAATGTTTAACAGCCAGTAATAGTCATTGTTTAGAATTAAATTAGTGAAGATGTTTTCCAAATACAACATGATTCTGCCACATCAACATACATACATGAAACAAATACTTTTTTACCCCAAGATTCCAACTATTAAGGCGAGCTTCGATGTCACTGTCATCCAAAGAAAGAGCAGATTTCCTCGAATGAATTTCCTAAAGTACAAAAGAGAAAAAGAAAAGCAGGATAAAAAAAAGACAGGATGGAGGGAAGAAACAAAAGTGGAAAGGAAGGAGGGAAAGAAGGGAGTGAGAGAAGGAAGGAAAGAAGGGCAGAGGGGAGGGAGGGAGGGAGGGAGGGAGAAAACAGGACAAAATATATGTCATTCAGAGTAATAAGAGTTTTGTGTGCCTTTTTTAGTAATGCTATACTACCCTCAGAGGAAAGGATTATGTTACAACTGAGTTAGTTCTCAATTCTAAGTAATGACTGTTTATTACAGCTGCTTAAGGCTATGAGAGGCCTTCACAATATATTCACACAGCAACTAGATTTCAGAAAAAAAAAAATCGAAAGAATATTTTAAAAAATAATCCAGACCCTTCTCTTTAAGTTCTTTCACAAAAAGTTTTAATTGTGGTATACCACAGTAACTTTAAAGGGGGGTAGGGAAACACTTGAAAAAATGATTATTTACTCTCATTAAAATTAGTTAACAGGGAAGTTTGTATTGCTGTCCAAGAAGCTTTTTGTTCTTAAATTAATTCTCATTCATACACTGTACATAAAGAGAAATAAGCTTTGGATTCACATCATGAAAACATAATTATTTATTATGAAAGAGTAATTCTTTACTTCTTAAAAAAATTAAGGGACTTCCCTGGTGGTGCAGTGGTTAAGAATCTGCCTGCCAATGCAGGTGACACGGGTTCGAGCCCTGGTCCGGGAAGATCCCACATGTCGCGGAGCAACTAAGCCCGTACGCCACAACTACTGAGCCTGCGCTCTAGAGCCTGCGAGCCACAACTACTGAGCCTGCGCACCTAGAGCCCGTGCTCCGCAACAAGAGAAGCCACCACAATGAGAGGCCTTCGCACCGCAACGAAGAGTAGCCCCCGCTCACCGCAACTAGAGAAAGCCCGCGCGCAGCAACAAAGACCCAACACACAAAAATAAATAAGTAAAAATAAATAAATTTATAAAAAAATAAAATAAAATTCCATGCTCTTTTCCCTCCCATATAATTTATTATATTACAAACTTATCAAACCAGATTAAAATTATAATTAACTGAGGACAGCCAAAGATCTGTACCCAGAAATGGACAATGACCTGAAAGCCCTACAAACTTAGAAAGTAAGTCTGTGGAAAATAATAATGTACATCCTACAGTACAGCCAAAATATTTTATTTTATTTAAATTTAAATTTAATTTCTTGGTATAGCATTTTCATGCTTTTAGAAAACCACACTACTAACAAATAAATCTATTTATCTATGGTCATTTAAATTATCTGAAGTGATGAAAAATACATTAAAATGTTCTTCAGACACAGATGCAGAGAACAAACGGATGGACACCAAGGGGGGAAAGCCACGGTGGGGTGGTGATGGTGGTGTGCTGAATTGGGCGATTGGGATTGACATGTATACACTGATGTGTATAAAACTGATGACTAATAAGAACCTGCTGTATAAAAAGATAAAATAAAATTCAAAATTTAAAAGAAAAAAAAATATTCTTCATATTTTACTGAATCTCCAGATTTCTATTGAACAAAATGTTGGGTTTATTATATACACTATATTAAAATTCATTATTGCCTCTACTGTTGGTCCCTTGCTTTTTGAATGTTTGTGTGTGTATGTGTGAATGAGAATGTCTTTTAAAATGCACCTCCCTTATTTATTTTGAGTAAATATAATGATTGATAATAAATTCACAAATATCTAAAATGTGCTGCTCTTTATATTAAGATATTTATGAAAGTTCCAAACTGGAACCCTTCATCACTGGAGAAAATGGAAGGAGTTATGTTCAGAGCCAATGTTCTAAAACTGTCATGTTTCACATTCGACTTGCTTGTAACTAAAAGTCTCATCACCCAAGACAAGCTGAGTTATGCTGTAGGAAGCAGGCAGAGTCCTTCTCTTTATCAAGCTGACTGGAATGCTCATTAGCTCCATGGTCAAACCAAATCTATGTTAAGTAGTTACATGCAAGAGAAGTATTCATATTTCAAGATAGGAACAGTTCACCTTCATCAGGAAGGCAGTGTTCCCTACTTCACTACAAACTAATCCCAATTTCTTAAGTTTATGACCATTGTGTGTCTAATCATTTTTAGACATATACTGAGTAAAAGGGGAAAAGTAACTAAAAAACAAAACCTTTTCAAAGTTATTCTTCAATGCACAGGAAAAATGATAGACTGATTAACACGATGCCTCAGAATCTTTGAGAAAGCAGAAGGAACGCTATGGAACATACCAAATACACCACTTTCTTTGAAACCAGGATATTCACCAAAACCTTCAGACTTTATTGTTTGTAAGTAATCGTTGGAATTTAACAATATGAAACTAAAAATATGTGGAGATTTTTTTTTTTTTTTTGGTATGCGGGCCTCTCACTGTTGTGGTCTCTCCCATCGCGGAGCACAGGCTCCGGACACGCAGGCTCAGCGGCCGTGGCTTACGGGCCCAGCCGCTCCGCAGCATGTGGGATCCTCCCAGACCAGGGCACAAACCCATGTCCCCTGCGTCGGCAGGCGGACTCCCAACCACTGCGCCACCAGGAAAGCCCTATGTGGAGATATCTGAAAACAAGAAGCAAACAAACAAAAAAACAAAAGTAGATTCTGATCTTACATAACTCCTTGGGGTAATAATCTGTCCATCATCTCTGTAGGTTGGACTCATAAACTGTGATCTGGTTTGGAGCTTTGCAATGCATTGTTCCCTATTAAGAGACCAAAACAGTCACAGTCAGAATTGGGGAATTCAGAGGACACAGCGGTATTCAAATCTAGGATTACAATATTTTTTTCCTTTTGGAAATGAGATGACTGTTTATATTAACAATGACGTTTCAATAGCAAAGAAAAAAGAAATACAAATAATAACCACTTGTATTTATTAAACTATAAGTAAAATGTCACCTAAATGCCACATGCTTGCTTACAAACAAATGCTATTGTTAAGTGGGACTATAATAAACCACATGTATTTCCCCTTTTCCTACGTGTAGGAAGAGAAAAATTGAAGCATGCATTCTCAGAGAAGATAATTGTTTTAAAAGGTTAGCAAGTTTTGTTGGATTCATGTTTCACATCATGATGAAGTCTTAAAATATATAAAATAACAAAACTTTCACATAGCTGAAAGTCTGAATTAATTTGAAGCCATCTCAGAAACCACAGATAAATCAAAGTCCTAAATTTAAAAATATGCCATGTTAATTTAGGTAAAACATAAGTAGAGCATAAACAGGAAAATAGTTTAAGCTTCCAGATGAATTAGGACAAAAAGATTTTTCTCCAATATAAAATATAGTACAAAAAAGTGCCATTCTCAATATTCTACTTTAGCCTAGAGTCTCCCATATATTTTTTTCTTTTTTAAAAAAGAGCTCTATTGAGGTATAATTGACATACAAAGAACTGAACATATTTATTGTGTGCAATTTGATGAGTTTGAACATACGCAAACACCTGTGATACCATCACCACCATCAAGGTAACAGACATATCCAGTACTTCCCAGAGTTTCCCTGTGACCCTTTGTTTTTGTTTTGTTGTAAGAACACTTAATATGAGGTCTATCCTTTTAACAAATTTTGAAGAGCACAATACTACATTGTTAACTAGGCACTATGCTGAAGATATGGAAACCACCCAAGTATCCATTAACAGAGAAATGGACAGAGCAGAAGTGGTAGACACATACGATGCGATATTGTCAACTCTTTAACTGGATTATGTGGGTGGCACCTGGTGCAATCATCTTCCTGTACTGCCATATTTTTATATTACCAGGGATAATGGGTAAATTACTTTATCCATTATCCTAGGGAATCTAGTTTCCTAAGAAAATATTTGACTTCCCTTCATGTCCACTTCTCTCCCATATATTTCTATTCGAGCTACTTCAATGGACGTTCCATGATTACAAATATCTATTCTCTGAATGGTTACTTCAAGAGACACAAAATGAAAACTAACCATTATTTAATGAATTAAAGCCACTGACTTTCAACCACTAGCCATATCAGGATTTCCTTCACAAATTGTGGGTCATACTAAGTATTCTCAAAAGACAGAACAGTAGTTCAAAAAGACAAGATTAAAATTAATGTGTTTTTTGGTAGTTAACGCTGACAGAATAACATTCCTTAGACTAGTTACTAAGTAATTGAGAATGTCTGAAAAAGTTGTTTTAAAGAGAGCTGTGGATTTTTTTTATACCCCTATCCGTAGTCCAGATATCCAAATACTTAAAAATAAATGAGAAAATGAGATAAAGTAATATTTTGAGAATAATCTCATCAGCCAGTGTGCTTGAGCTGATATAAAGCATTTAAAACTTAGTATGTGGGAAGAGACACCCTGATATACCATACTAAGTAGTGGCCTGTTCTTCTTTAAGAATAGATTAAACAATCATAAAAAGAGCGATACTTAAAAATTGAAAAATGCTTAAATATTAAAAGTAATTCTTCTCATAGAAAATATTAATAAAAAAGAGGACTGAAACATTTATCTATTTATTACACAGGGTGCATACATAAAACAACACATCCTTTTAAGTCACATGTAGCTGTCTTCTGTAACGATCCTACCTCTTCCCCTTCTTAGTAAATTTTCAAAATAAGTTATTGAATCTATGTCCTATCCTGCCCTGTCCTCTCCAATCAACTACAATCTGACTTCCACTCATCCTGAAAGTGCTGTAAGTAAAGTCAGCGTTGATCTCCTAGGTGCTCACGCAAATGAGCCGCAATCTGTTCTTACCCTGGCTGCTCTCACTAAAACGTTAGGGGTGGTGCTTTAAAGATGCCACATTTATTGGCTCCACAGAACCATTCTTTCCCGGTTCCTATCTGGTCCTTTAGAAATCTCCTTCACAGCTTTTTCACTAGCTTTTCTTTCTCTGCCCATCTCATACATGCTATAATCCCTGGGGTTCTGTGTCTAACCATATTTATTTTCCTTTTATGTGCTTTCCCTGGTCAATCCAATATACTATTAGTTTTTCAAATAATAAGGAGAAGCTCTGATTACCAATCTACATCTCCAGCCCAAACTGCTCTCTTGGCCTCCAACCCCATTGCAAATACAAACTGAATAGCCCTACCTCCAATTCAACATGCCCCAAACTAAATTCGTTCTATTTCCCCTGAAACATGCTCCAGTGCAGGCCAAGTAAAGCAGAGGCATTGCTGAAGTCAGCTTCTTGTGAAGGCAGTTGAGCCAACTAAAGAAGGAGGTCAGCATCATTGCTAAGATCCAGCTGGCACAAGAAGCATGGGGCATTAAGCACAGAAGTTTCATCTCTTGCCACTGATAATGACTCCAGCTGGAAACGCAATTAACTGGAACTCTAAGGAGGCACAAAGACGGCTCAGATTCACAGTGATGGGGCTGGAGGTCAGGGTGAACAGGGAGACAGAGGGCAGGGGGCAAAGCTTAACCCTGTGTTATCCTTTAGGAAGAACAGCAGGTGCTGCCTGCCACAGAGAATAAATAGCAAGTCATGGTGCTTATGAAGACAGCCTACCGTTGGTACGGGGGACACGATTACAGCGAGGTCAGGACTTCGGAGCTTGTGCCAATGAGAAGGAGGGACTGTGGCTCATTCACGTGTGGGTGCCAAGCTAGCCCAGAAAGCAGGGTCTCGGAGTATGAGTAAGATTCCCTGACGTGCAAGTGCCTCCTTCCTCCTCTGGAAGAGTAAAACTAGAGGAAATGTAAGTTTTTCCCTTTCACTTTTTCCTAATGCTAAAATATTTCAACGACAATCCAGAAACATTCTCCCAGCATCTTTGCTGATTCCAAATACTACAGAAACATAGACTTGTCACTATAAAAATAAAGAGATAAGTAATGAGACATATAATAAGCTTTAAAAGCCTAAACAAAGACTGACTGAATTTCTTCCTGCAAAAGAAACTTATACATATGGAAAATTTCTAAAATGTCTTTTTAATTTGTGTCCTCAATGTGATTCAAGTAGACATTTCAGATATAAAAAGGAAATAAACAATCTGTGATCATAAAAATGTGCTTAAAAATGAAAAACATCATTACCAAATTTTAAAACCACAATGTAAGAAGAGAATGGCAGATAAAATATAGCATAAAATCAAATCAGTGAATTAGAAAACTACTTCAAGAAATATTCTGAGAACACACAAAAAAATTAAGGGATGAATAAATAAAAATGCAACAGATAAGGAAGATAAATTCAAAATCTCTCATACCAAAATAATATAAATTCCAGAAGGCATAAATAAAACAGAAACTGGGAAAATAATGATTAAAGAAATAGTAGTGACAATGCCAGTCAAGACTGCATTGGAGAAAAACCTAAAGGAATAACCTAGAACATCTCTTTTAGCTCGGACAAAAATGCAATGCCCAAAAAACCCCAAAAAGTGTAATGCCATGCTATTGTCAAAAAGACCACAAATAAATGTTGGTGAGGATGTGGAAAAAAGGAAAACCTAGCACCCTGATAGTGGGTATGTAAATTGGTGGAGCCACTATGGAAAACAGTAAGGATCGTCCTCAAAACACTAAAAATAGAACTACCATATGATCCAGCAATTCCACTCCTGGGTATATATGCAAAGAAAATGAAAACACTAATTCAAAAAGATACATGCACCCCAATGTTCACAGCAGCACTATTTACAACAGACAAGACATGGAAGCAACCTAGGTGTCCAGCAACAGATGAATGGATGAAGGTGTGGTACATATATACAATGGAATACTACTCAGCCATAAAAAGGAATAAAATTTTGCCCTTTGCAACAACATGGATGGACCTAAAATGTATTATGCTGAATGAAATAAGTTAGACACAGAAAGGCAAACACTGAATGTTATCATTTATGTGTGAAATCTAAAAAACAAAGCAAACAAATATAACAAAACAGACTCACAAGCTAATTGTTACCAGTAGCGAGAGGGGTGGTGGGAGGGACAAGGTAGGAGGAGGGGATTAAGAGGTACAAACCACTATGTATAAAATAAATAAGATACAAGGATATATTGTACAGCACAGGGAATATAGCCAATATTATATAATAACTTTAAATGGAATATAATCTATAAAAATACCGAATCACTAGTAGTATGCCTGAAACTAATATAATATCGTAAATCAACTATACTTTAATTTTAAAAAATGTAATGTCATAAAAAGGACAGGAACTGAAGGTCTGCCAGGCTCTGGTTTCAGAGACAGCTAGAAAGAGCAGGAAGTATGACTCTGGACAAGTAGGAGAGAATCAAAGTTCCTCTAAGTAGAAGGACAAAGTCAAACTCATCAAGAAACCAGAAGCAGGGTTGGAGTTCCTTGTTCTTGAGAAGAAGCTGAAAATCAGTGCTGGTGACCACTTTGGAAAGCTCTGGCTTATAAGAAGCTTTGTGCCCTGGAAAGGCAAGGAACACAGACATGGCCTCAAAGCCAAGGAACTAGACTCGTCGTATGAAAGGACAGAGTTCAAAGTGAAAAGAGGGGGCGCAGTGGTTAAGAATCCGCCTGCCAATGCAGGGGACACGGGTTTGATCCCTGGTCCAGGAAGATCCCACATGCCACGGAGCAACTAAGCCCATGCGCCACAACTACTGAGCCCTCGTGCTACAACTACTGAAGCCCACATGCCCTAAAGCCCGTGCTCCGCAACAAGAGAAGCCACTGCAGTGAGAAGCCCGCGCACCGCAATGAAGATTA